CTATAGTGGGATCTATCTCTTACTGTTTAGAAAGATGTTCTTTGAATCCCCAAATCCATTGCTAGCAAGGTCTTTTTTTTTTTTGGTCGTTCAAGAAGGAATTCGTTGTCACTATTACTTCTTAGTTCTTTTTTTTTTTTTAGGTCTGTTTTCTTGCTGTTTGATGAAGCCTTCTTTACTTTTAACACCCAACTTACACATACTTGGTGGGATATAGCTTTTGCTGTTTCAGAAGATGTTCCTTTTATTAATCGCTTCAAAATCCCACTAGATGCGATATCTGCTTTTTGCAGTTATTACTGTAATCAACCGACCGGTAATTATTTTTAGGTAATTGCTGATATCACAGATGAAAATAAATATGATGTTTACAAAAAATGCAACCGGAAAGAACTTTGATTTAACTAAAAAAAAAAAAATCAGGCGATATTTAAAATAAAACTGAGGCCAATGATTGGCCGTGGATGCTCACCTGGGAAGGAAATGACGACATCTAGAAAAAGCACACTTTATCCTTTGTGTCATTTGTAAAAGAACAAGCATCGACAGGAAGCTTGAACGGGAGTGGTATTTCCGTTCAGCAGAGATTACTAACATCCGGTCTGTGTTTAATACGATCTTTGTTTGTTCGATTGTTCCAGATTTGTGTGTGAAAGTGGAGGGGAAGGGGAAATATAAGGGAGAATAAAAATAAAAAAAAGGGGGGGGGTGGTGGGGAGTATGGGTCGCATGCGGGTATACTTTTTTTCAACAGCAAAATATAACCAGGTTATTTCTGTGAACTTTAACCTGGCCTAATTGCTTCCTTTACCATTTTCCTCCTTGTAGGTGGTGGTGACAAGAGCAGTTTTAGTTGCATCCCGAAAACTGTGAGATGTGGAAAGGAGAATGCAACTGACTCTACAGCAGATGCTTCGTGCCGAAGGTGTACAGTTTCAGAGACAAGCCATTTAAAAGATGATGCCATTGTGCAAACGGCAATAACAAGAAATGCGACTGAAATACAGTTTACCATGAGCAACGACAACATGAGAAAATGTGGTCTTTAAGCCGTCACATATTTAGGATGTGATCAAGTTTCTACTGAGAGATAGTACGGTCTGTGAAGACAGTTTTAACATGAAGTGTGTCTGTTCTGCGTTAGGACCTAACTTATCTTCGGCGCCGTATTTAGGATCAGACTCTTCTTGTTTAGATTACAGCTGTACTGACAGCATGCTTTGGTTGAGGCATACATGGGAGGTAACCGATAAGAACTTTACCAGGCAACCTGGCTTCCCTGTGCTACGAGATTCCTGTGATACAAGCGAATGTATTGCAAATAGTATCTCCCCAGTGATATCAAGCGGCCAGCAAAGACAGCAGGGATCCCCAGCAAATATGTGGGGAGTGCAGACTTGGTGTTACCCAGTTCAGACACCAAATAAGACACAAGATTCGTCTAACACAGTGAAAAATCGTTTTCTTTGTGAAGAAGTGTTGTCGTGTAGAGCGCATGTGTCCTCAGCTTCGGAATACTCCGGGATGGATGCTTGCGATAAGATATCTTGTCCCTGTGCGAGCAATGGCATAGGCTGTCACGGCGCTGGCAGTACAAAATCGTGTTCTGATGATAGCAGTAAAATATTCTGTACTGACAATTGCAAGAGAGCTATTGAAACCTGTTATAAAGTACCTTATTCTGGTATTAACAATGCAGTATATGGTTCCGATGCTTTCAGTAAAGTACTTTACAATCATAATGACCAATCAGTGCTAGGGAACAATGAAAGAAAACAAATCTGCAACAATGATCAAGAGAAAGGTGCTGTTTGTTCTGAAGCAGCGAGTTCTGATAGATTCTTGCTGTCGCAAGTTGAAAACGAAGACATTTCACTTAATTCTGACAGACATTTGCAGTCGCATGATAGAAGTGAAGACATTCCAAGCCATGTAAGATGTGAACATGTCACACCAGCATCACATTTTCTGAACCAAGACCTGGGCGAAGACGACGCTGCACATATCCACCATGTGTCGATACTTAGTCTGTTACCTCAGTGTACATTCTGTGAATTGTTAAATGGAAAACAGCCAGAATTTCAGTTTATTCTTCCACAAAATACTCAAAGTTATCCAACCACCAACGGTAATTTACCAGACAGAACCGGCCAATCCCGATTAGAGACAGGCCAAATGCAAGATTTTTGGTCACAAGATGGCAGAATTATGGACGCTGATTGTTCAAAAGAAATTTTAATCTGTAAACGCCAAACACAGAATTCATCACAAAAGCAAGATAGAGACAAAAAATCCCAGCTGGAGACTCACAGGTTACACGATGTTTGGTCCCAAGATGGTAAAAATTGGGATGTTCCCTGCTCAGAAACAAGTGTAGAAAATAAATATGAAACAGAGACTTCTTCACAAACGAAAGATAGAAACAGTGCCCAGAAACCCGAAGAAGACTTGTTAATGAAACCCGAGAACAGACACCCAAAGAGCCACGTCAGGAGGCGCTTACTGGCGATGAACTTTGAGAAAGAAGAGAGGAAAAGGCAGGATTTGAACAACCCCCCACAAATTAAATCATCTTCCCCTGAGGTAAACCTTCTGAAGAATCCAAATTCACTTACGTCTGCATCTTATAAATTTGACTGTTCTGAAATAGGTCAGAATTACTTAGCTGTCCAAAGCCCAGAATCTTCACCCCCAAAAACGAACGCAGAAAACTATTCTGTCCATAATCTGCTTGTTGAAAACAGACGCGCTGATAATTATGTGTGCCAAAAAGTGCAGAATTCTAATTCGGCTCAAGACGAAATGATGAACACCTGCAGTAATTTTTCAAAGATATATCGAAACAGACAACACAGTTTCGGAATAGATTCTCATTGTATAACTAATTTATGTGACGCGAACAGCGAATTAAGTTTTTATGATGAACCGAAATGCACGAAAATTCATAACAATCTTTCACCTTTTCTCCCAGACCACGAGCCACCGTCTACGCCAGATAACCGAATGGGACAAACAGTTTTTTTACAAAATCAGAACGAGGTTTCTATCAATTTACAGAACGAGAATAAGGTTTCAGTTATTTTAGAAAACAAGAGCGGGGCTTCTGTTATTTTAGAAAACCAGAAACAGGCTTCAGTTATTTTACAAAATCAGAAGTACCCATTATTTCTGTTACAACACTACAGTGAAGGGTTCGTTATTTCTCAAGACCAGAATGAGACATTTGTTGTCGATGGAAACATGAAGGAAATATTGGTTAATAAATTACTTGTCATTTCTCAGAATCAGATTAATTCCTCACCATGTTCACCAACCCAGAATGAATCATTTGTTATTTCTCAAAATGACAATGAAACACTAACTGGCAAGTCGTTTGTGATTTCTGAAAATCATACTAATTTATTGGCACTGCCAACAGCCAAGAATGAGTCGTTTGTTACTTCACGCCACCAGAATGAGCCGGTTGTTACTTCACTTTACCAGAAGGACCCATTTGTAACTTTACTTCACCAGAATGACCCTTTTGCTACTTCACTAAACAGGAATAAGCCATTTTTCACTTCATGTCACCAGAATGACCAATTTGTTACTTCACCAAACCAGAATGAACCAAATGTAACTTCATGTCACCAGGATGAGCCACCAAACAGGAATGTGTCATTTCTTACTTTACGTCACCAGAATGAGCCTCATGTGGCTTCACCAAACCAGAAAGAACCATTTGTTACTTCACTAAACATGAATGAACAATTTGTTACTTCACTGAACAGAAATGAACAATTTGTTACTTCACTAAACAGGAATGAACCACTTGTTACTTCACATTACCAGAATAAGACACATGTTACCTCACGTCACCAGAATGAGCCACTTGTTACTTCATTAAACAGGAATGAACCATTTGTTACTTTAGTAAACAGGAATAAGCCATTTGAACCGTTTCTTACTTCCTGCCACCAGAATGAGCTACGTGTTACTTCAACAAACCAGAATGAGCCACTGGTTCCTTCACCAGACCAGAAAGAGGCACTTGTTACTACACATCACCAGATTGACCCATTTGTTACTTCACTAAACAGGAATGAGCCATTTATTACTTCACATTACCAGAATGAGCCGTTTTTTACGTCAGCAAACAAGAACGAGCCATTAGCTACTTCAAGCCACCAGAAGGAGCCACGTGTTACTTCTTCAAACCAGAATGAGCCACTTGTTACTTCACTTACCAGGAATGAACCATTTGTTACTTCACTAAACAGGAATGAGCCATTTGTTACTTTATCGACACAGAATGCGCATGCTGTTAATTCGTGTCCCCAGAATACTCAATTTATCCTTTCATGTCACGAGAATAAGCCGTTTGTTAATTCACCAAACCAGAACGAGTCGTTTGCTACTTTCTGCCACCAAAATGAGTCATGCGTTATTTCACCAAGCCAGAATAAGCCAGCATGTAGTTCGAAAGAACAGAATGAGCCACTAATTATTTCACTGGAGCAAAGTGAGCACTTATTGCTTTCACAACATCACGGTGAAGCTTTCGCTAATTCACAAAATGGAAATGAGACTTCATTTAATAAGCCATTTATTTGGCCTCAGACACAAAACCTGGCAACGTCATTTCTATGTACCCCCAATGATCTAGAACACATTTCACAAAATCTGAATCAGGGACTATTTCTTCAGCAAAAAATAGATGAATCATGCGTTATGTCACGAGAACCAAGGAAAAACTATGATTAAAAGAACACAGCAAAAACCCTTTGTTTTTTCAAAAATGAGAAAGGGTATGACAAAATAAAAAGTGGACTTTTCAAAATAAGAACCAATCACCAAGCGGGCACAATGAACCGTAATTTTTTGGGGAAAAGAACGGGGCTTTTATGATTTTACAAAACCAAGGAAAAAATTCTTAAAAACCAACAATAAAACCCGTTGTTAAAGTTTAAAACAGAAAACCAAATTAGGTCAAACAGCCATCTGTAATTTCAAAAAACCAA